GGGTTGCCATGGGCTACCGTGTGTAGCCAGCAGCCAGCATGAGCGGCCAGCAGCCGCAGTGAGCGGCCGTCCAGAAGCCGGCGACTGATCTGCCTCCCCAGAGAAGAGCACAATGATGGTGCCAACTGGGGCCAGTGAAGCAACATCCTCCACAGCTAGATTGAAGAACAAAACAACAGCAACTTGTCTGTTCCCCTTCCCCCAATTCCCCAGCACTGTTCCCATCCTCCCAATTCCCCAATAAAAATCTTCAAAAAAAAAAAAAAAAATCCAAAAAGACATTTTTATACACTAAAAGTAAATAATTTGAGAGAAAATAAACTATATTATTGTATTTAAATAAACACAAAAAATATATATTTGGATGACGGTTTTAATTTCCCAAATGGTCTTCATGAAGGTTTTGTACTTGGTGGCAACGGTGCTTTTCCTTTATGCTTAGCAGCTTTCTCCATTTTTATCTGTAAATTTAAAATATGAGTTGATATAATAATTTATAAAACATCCTAAAGAAATAAAAGGTTGCACATACCTCATTTGAATTCATGTTTCACATAGTTATTTAGTAGTTATTAAGCTGCTGAGTACTAAAGCCAAAATCTGATAGGTGAAGGAGCTAATTACATTTTTAAAATATGGTTTGATTTCAACTCTACACAAGCATTTTAATAAAAATAACATAATGACTATTGCTTTGGAGAAAATGAATAAATTAATTTTAATTGCCACTAATTTTTTTTTAAAGCTGAACTACTTAACTTTACATCCAGCCTAAGCACATTCCCCATAAGGTTACAGAATACACCTAATCCGGCTGGATTATCTCTGGAACATGGACTGCTTTAAGGATAGTTTCCTATAATTCTGGTTTCTACATTTCCACATTTACCTTCCTAAATATTGTCCTTCTCCATTGTAACTGAAGCAGAGATGAAGCTTGCATACCCTAAGCAGCAGCCTTCTGATCTTTTAGAAACATATAAACCCTTTCCTATGGGAAGAAAGACCCCAGAGAACACAAAACCCACCTGATCACTACCACACACACTCACACATACCAATTCCCAGAGGCAGCACCACTGCCTTACCCCCGCAAGAGAAAATACTGGGCATGGTAGGTGGAGGTAAGGCCTCCTACCTTCTAAGGTGACAGGAATAAAACCAGAAGAAACCTGGTAAAACCACTCTACTCAATCTCATCAAATTGCAGATAACTTGCCAATAATAAAATTGGATGAATCTCACCTGTCTCTTCCCCATTTCCCCCCCCCCCGCCCCTCTGCTCTTTGAGATGGTTGGGAACCTCATTCAGAAATCATACACTCATCACTCTTGCACACTGTATCAGTCAACAGGTCATCTGCAGGACCCCTAGAGAACACCCTATTCTAAGGTAAACAATATATGCTTTGGAGTCAGAAAAGTATTTGAATCCTAACGCTACCATTTATTAACTATTTGCGGCAAGTTGCTTAACAGCTTTCTCGTTTGTAAAAAAGGTCATAGCAATAGGTACTTCTCGCAGATGTCCTCAAGGTGTAAATAAGATCATATATATAAAGATCAAAATACTTAATAAGCACTCAACAAATGCTAGTCCCTTGTCCCACTCATTTAGAGCCATGTGTTAGATTTATAGTAACATCAAAAAAAGAGCAAAAATGCTTAACAAACAGAAGTCAAGAAACTAGTTGCTCGTTTGAAATACAGGTATACCTCGTTTTATTGCGCTTCTGTTTATTGCACTTCACAGATGCTGCATTTTTTACAAACTGAAGGCAAGACCCTCCACCAGAAAAAGATTAGTACACCTTTTATTGTGATACTCGCTTTATTGTGGTGGCCTGGAACCAAGCCCACAGTATCTCCCGGGTATGTCTGTTCAGGCATAACATTGCTTTGTAAAGGGGCTCTGAACCCATCAGATCCAGTTTCCTAATTGTCCCTTTTCCCTCAATGGTGCATGTATTGGTTTTCTGGAGTAAAAGAAGAGTATTAACAATGGTGTACATGTCAGCTCAGAAGAAGTTGTGTAGGTTTAAGCTTCTTAGTTTTTGTACTCCACTAATCATACAGGCTGAAGAGTTTATAAGCTGTATCTCATAAATCCATAAATCACACAAGCCGGAGAGCTATATAAACTGTATCTCATAAATCCATAAATTCTAGGTCTGTATATAATAAGTAGTCTGTGTGGGCCAGGTACATCCTCAGAACATTCACAGATAAGGACTCCTCCCATTATCTTCCCACAAGCAAATACCACTGGCATGTTTTCAAGCTGTCGACACTGCCTGCGCTCCTGGAAGAGGGAAGAAAGGTGCTCTAGAACCCTGTCCCTCATAAGCCTGCGAGGAAAAACTGAAATTCAGCTCTGGATGTATGTGTTTCAAAACCAGATTGATTTGATAGTCTACCCTTGATGATGCTGCAAAAATAGCCTTTGCTTTTCTCACTCTAACCATTTCATCTCCCTCCCTGAGATCCTATTACCACCTCTTTCCCTTAGACCAGAGCTTTCCAAACAACTTTCTGCACTGTCCAATAAGGTAGCCACTAGCTACATGTGGCTACTGAGCCCTTGATATGTGGCTAGTACGACTGAGGAAATAAATTTTAGTTTATTTAAATTTAGACATGTAGAGCCACATATGATGGCTACAGCACAGATACAGAAATTTCCATCACTGCATAAAGTTGTTTTCTAGCTCTGCTTTAAATCATTTGAGGACTCTCCCCTCTACTTCAAAATTCTTCATCAAGAAAACAAAGCCATTCTCTCTGTCCCCTAGTCATTTCTTCCGTTCTTGGATAGTGAATTTATTTAATGGTTTCCACACCTTCAGTCACTCAACAAGCTCTTGTCTAAGAGTTATAGAGGATACAACAAAAAGTGACAAGCCTTTTCTGTCATGGCACTTATTACCTAGTTGGAGAGATAATAAATGCCCACAAAGCAACCATAAAATAATCCTAAGGAAAGCACTTTGGGGAATGTGCCATCCTCCGTACCTCATAAAGCTAACATCCTTTCATCTGGCAATAAACAAAAACAAAACAAAGCTCTCATATGAACACTGCCATGAAACATCAAATGTGTAAGTAGATGACATGCATAAAACCGAATAATACATCCATTTATTTTTTCAATTTTCCATAAGCATTTATTGAAAATGTATTATGTATAAGGCACTGTACTTAGTTAGCTTTTGTAAAAGCCCAAAGAGGACTAAAATACTACACTTATCCCAAGGAGTTTACAGTGCAATGGAGAACTGATGAAAATTATCATTATTGAAATCTGGGGACACATCAATACTGTAACTGTTGAGCCCTGGAAATTGTTAAAATACATTTATGTTTCTTAAAGACTATTAGGTAATTTTAACTTGAGTCTGGATATACCTAGAAGAACTACTAGCTATTATGAATTCAAGATACATATAATTTACAAATCTGCTGATGGTTGATAGTTATTATTGACAATTTTATTTGTATATTTAATTAATCTTAATGACCTCCATAAATTAACCAGTATATTATATATATCATATTATTCATTAGTCCTGTTTCTCTTTGAATTGTTCTAAATAAGCCTCAGGGCCTAACACTAGCTCTAAGTAAAGACTTTATAAATTATTTGTAATGATAATCCACAATCAATATATAATCATTCTATAGTGTCTTTGTTACAAGTAAATGCTTAATGTAAGCAGATTTCCCAACAGACTTACCCTTTCCTGGTACCGTCTTTCAAAGAAAGCCATATCATCCTCTTCAGGTCTCCTTAAGGAAGAAACTTTACTACTTGTACCTACTGATAAGAAAAAAAAAATCCTAAGTGATTTATTTCTATAATTATAAATTCTCCTGAAATAAAGAAACAGAACAAAAACATTCCTCCTATCCAGTGATATTTTTCAAACCAGAAATGGTCTAAATGGAGAATTGATCCTACTACCTAATGGTTTTTTAGAAAGTAGAACATCAGTAAGACAAAAGTAATTTTCATTGGCAAACATTCTCCAAGTATTCAACTGGTTCATATTAAATAATAACATACATTGTAGCTATTTCATATAAGAGCACATTTAACTTTGTTCAACTACAGTTTACATGTTAAAGCTAAACTAGAAATTCATGTAACACTGTAACAGATAATGAACATATAATTTACTTTATATATAACATATAATGAAGTAATTATAGAAATGCTATGGGCTGAATGTTTGTGTTCCCCCAAAAAATACATATGTTGAAATCCTAATGTCCGATGGGATGGTCTTAGGAGGTGGGGTCTTTGGGAGGTACTTAGGTCATGAGGATGGAGCCGTCATGAATGGGATTAGTGCCCTTAATAAATGAGACCCCATGGAGATCTCTCAACCCTTCCACAATGTGAAGACACAAGGTGGCACTGGCTACGAAGCCGGGAGAGGACCCTCGCCAGAACACCACCATGCTGGCACCTTGATCTTGGATTTCTCCGCCTCCAGAACTGTGAAAAATAAATTTCTGTTGTTTATAAGCCACCCAGCCGATGGTATTTTATCACAGCCACCCAAACAGACTGAGACATTTTGTGAAGGCAAAATGTTAAGGGATGATACTATCTGTTTTGAAATTTTTCAAAGCTAAAAGAATTTTAACCATTTCCCATGGTATTCACTTCTTAAAACTAATCAAGTACAAGTTTGTGTGCTGAAAGAAATTTTAAATTGCTTCAGAAGGAAAATCTGATGTTCTCTGTAGGTTCACCAAGAGGCCTGTTTCATGAAAAGTTCACCTTCATTTCAGATGAATGTCTTGGTTGGGTGTCTTCATATCCAAAATAGAGTATCAACCTGAACACCTGTTCTAGTTTTTAAAGCACACGAATTTACCCTCAACCAGCAACATAAAAATCACATAACTCCAGACAATCATCACAGAATATATAACCACACTCTGTCAACTATCTAACACAAAAAGCCTTGTTGAGAAAAATTGCATAAAATACATGCTGTCTATCCATTCATCTGAAAACTTTGGGTCTTTCCCTGGATCATGTTGGACCATCTGAGCTAAGCCTTTGGCAGAATCACCTTCGTTGAGTTGCATTTTAATGGTATATTACCATTTATCTGGTAAAATAGTGTACTACCACATTTATCAAAGGTGACTACTAGAAATAAGCAACCATATGCTGCATTTGCTAAAAAAAAGTTTCTAAGGCTTTGGGCCACTGCATCATTGAGGGTCACTATACATCTTTAAATTCCAGCATTGGTGTAACTTTCATTCGCACTGAGGAACTCACATTTCCTCCTTTCTAATTATGAAAAGTATTTAACTGATGGCACCTTCCTTTGTGCTTTGAAGCAGGAATGCCACTACATTCAGTCAAAACTGAAGCTTAATACAGCAATTGCATCAACCTTGAAAGTTGTGTCCTTTTACTTGGTTTTGATTTTCTATCTCTATTTTATCACTGCTTCATTGTGTGTTGCTTTTGTAAGCATCAGCCTTAACATCTCTTGTGTAGAAAATCAGGGTACATGAAAAAATTAAATGAAAATATAAATAAACCAAAGAAAATTCTCATTTTAAAATATTTTTGAATATTCAATACCTAATAAAAAATAGAGTCCTTCGTCAATGTTTTTATTCTTGCTTTCAATAAAGAAATAGAACACTACTGCTTAACAATGAATTCATTTTTAATGTGTAATTTATAAATGATAAAACTTTGCTAACCTATAATTATCACTGGATTACATCCTGTTTGGGAGAGCCTAAAAGATCAAGGCAATTAGTCCACTAGAGGGCTGTCTTATTCAGACATCAAAGCAATGACATACCAGAACACAGTTTTACAACATCAAATTATTGTATATCAGAAACCTCATAATTCTCAGATGTAGCAATTTTTCCCAATTAAAAAAATGAAGTTTTTTGCTTTTTCTCAGTGCCTGATCAATAGAAAAATCAAATAATAATCAAGTGATGGAAGGAGAACTGACTCTGGGTGGTGAACACACAATATGCTATATAGCTGATGTATTACAGAATTGTACACCTGAAACCTATGTAGCTTTACTAACAATTGTCACCCCAATAAACTTTAATAAAAAAATTAATTAATTTAAAAAATGATAACCAAATTGTGCTAATACTGGAGGAAAAAGAGAGGTATCTAGAAAATTAACCAATCTATAGTCGTATTTTCTACATCTGAAAATATTTCTCAATTTAATTTCATTACCATCTGTTAGTGTTTCTGGAGAAGAACTAGATGCTGCTTGAAATGCTTTTAGAAAGGGGTGGTCTGTGGCCGCAACTGGAGAGTCTAAAAATTCAGCTGAAGGTGCACCTGATAAAATACATAAAGAATGAAAATTAAATCTCTATTTGTTAGGATACAAAAACGATATTTCAAATGTGAAATAAATTAGAACCTCAGCAGAGTCATTAGGAAAAAACCTTTCCATCGAAAGGAAAGTTTGACTTAGGTTTACCTGCCATAGAAAGTAAAGGCAAATGGATAAAAGTGTTTTTGTATTTCTCAGAGACATTTTTCACGCACAAAAAAAATTACGTGCAAATGTAAATGTCATCAAGGAAGTACAAGACCTTAACATAGTCACAAAACACTATCAAAAGGAAGGTGATAAAGAACCTCTCATTGAAGAGGGCAGAATATTTTTACCCTATTCCTCACTGGAAAATCATCTAAAACCAAAGTATAAAAAAGAAAACTTTTTCAATGCAATGAGGAAACATCCCCAACCCTATCCACAAAATACAGACCAACTGCTAAATACATTAACTTTTAGAACAAAAGGAAGGAAGCTACAGGGAAAATTTATAAGTGCTCTATCTTCTTCAAAACCACCACCTTCCCCACATCCCTATCTCCATCCTGTGGGTAGAGGGAAAGAAAATAAATTTTTACACCTATTTGGTTTTAAAAGTTAGTCCTTTCTTACAACATAAACAGTGTGGGGCAATTGCTCAGCCTTTCAGGTTCCCACCCCCTCCTTCTCCAGCTCCTCTCTCATGTGGCTTGTGGGAGGCCCAGGTCCAGTCAAGCCCACGTGCTGTCCTCTGGTTGCTGCGTGCACTCCAGATCTCAAATGTTCAAGGCCGGCCTAAGTTGTAATTTGGTCTTTCAGCTTGGTAGGAGCTGTAGCCTCACACTGGCTCTCAGAAGCACAGGCTCCTCCATGCCTGTCACTTCTATTGAAGCCCCCAGGGCTCAGGGGACCCACCTCTAACTCTGCTCTGGGTCACCCTTGCCCCTTGCTATGACAGATTCCATACATAGCAGGCACACTGCCTCACAGCTCAGTTAAGAGCTGGGAACTACTGGACTCCTTCCGCATTGTAAAGGAACCAAATGTCAGCGGTTACCTCTGTCCAGGATTCTACAAGGCTAACAGAGCAGAAGTCCCTCTACCCCAGGCTCCCCTATATCTGAAATCAAGATACAAATATCTTATGTTTCCTCTCCTCACTCTGACCTTTCTTCACCTCACCTTCCCTCAGGGGCCAGGAAGGACAGGTTTTCTTTCTTTATATTATACAGATGATTAAGTGATAAAATACTAGAAGTCACAAAAAGGCCAAGATGCCAACTACTACGACTATTACTTAGCATTGATCTCAAAGTAACAGCCAGTAAGAAGAGTCAAATTATTGGAAAGGAAGAACAAAACCATCATTTGCAAAATCAACTAAATGTTTATTTAAAACTCTAAGATTAAGTACAGTAATAATGACTGGTAACAAAAGCAGCATAAAACATTTGCTTTTTTATAAACAAACAATAATCAGCTAGAAAATATAAAGGAAGGGGGAAAACCCATGAATGCTAGCTATTAAAAAATGATGAAATACCTAGAAATAAAATTAAGAATTGTGTGGGACTTTTATGAAGATAACTTCAGAATTCCACTTAGCTCCACAGAAGACAAATCAAAAGACTTAATATTTTAAAACATCAATTCTTCCTACATTAATCTATGCATTACAGTGCTTTTGTAATAATACAAAAACATAGAAAAAATATGTCATGACTTTTCCGACAACCCAATAGAATGTTTTCAAAAAATGATGCCAAAGTTCTGAAAAAATTAAAAGGTAAGAATAAGTCAAAAAAATTCTGAACAAAATGAAGTCATAAATATTATTATAAAACTGTAGTAATGAAAACAATATGGCAGTTGCACAGAAATAGACAACAATGAGGCCGACTAATAAGCCCAGAACAACTTCTGGATTGAGCCAAATCCTATCACTTATAGCTGAATAACACAGAACAAAATGTTTTACTTCTCTGTGCTGAGTTTTCTCATCTGTAAAACAGGATTAATAATAGCACCCAACTCAGAGCTGTTGTGATGATTAAATGAGGTACAGATATAAAGAGGTTGGAACAACTGGCAGTACAAAGCGGCAATCATCAACAACGTCATTATCATTATTTTTTGCGACTGGTAATTGAGTTTTCTGTAACTACTGCATTGCCTAATAGAATCATGCACCTATGAAAATTGAAAAAAGATTTGTTTATGGAATTTAACAAGCTAGTTGTAAAGTTACTTAGAAGAGAAAATATACAAATATATCAGGGGCAATCTTGAAAAAAAAAACACAAACAGGAGGAATTTACCATACCAAATATCAAAACACACTATGAAGAAGAACAACTAAAAATATGTAATATTGGCACAGGATAGACAAATAGGCCCATAATATGTCCAAATAGGAACAAAATGTGATAGAATATGATAAAGGTAAAGTTTCAAATTATATGGGAAAGATCATCATTTTGGACAAAAACTGAAGTTATACACACCTCACACTTGCATACAAAATAAATTCCAGAGGCGTGAAAAAGCTAAATATAAAAACAAAAAAATTAAGTATTAAAGTAAAATGAAGGAGAACATACTTATAAAATTGGAGCAGGGAAAGCCTGTCTCCAAAAAAAAAGACTAAAAGACAAATGACAGATTGGAAGGAAATATCTGCAAAAGAAATAACAAAGGATTAGTATACAGAATCTATAAGAATACTTTCTATAAATCAATGAGAAAAGATAAAAATATAAAAATGGGCAAAGTATGTCAACAGACAACTAACAAAGTAAAATGGCTAGTAAATGTGAGATGACTCTCATCTCACTAATAACCAGAGAAATCAAACTGAAACAATGATAGCATTTTCACACATCAGACTGGCAAATAATTAAATTTAATGATGTCAATGATCAGCATAAATGTGAGGAAATAGATTAGTTAGAACATCACCAGAGGAACTGTAAACAAGTACAGCACAGCATGTTTGGAGGGCAATTTGACAGAATGTATTAAAATTTCACATGTGCACACACTTCAACCCAACAATTCTACTTCTCAATATCTACTTTAGGGTCAAATTCACATGGTATACAAGGAAGCAAGTTAGCAGGACTGTTTGTAAAGACAAAATAAAGTGGGGCCGGCTGAGTGGCGCGATGGTTAAGAGCTCGCTTGGGATGCCAGAGGGCCCCGGTTCGGATCCCACATGTGGGGGCCAGTGACACTGCCCTCCACAGCTAGGATGCTGAACAACAGCTCAACCTGGAGCTGGGCTGCCCGTGGGTCGCCGGCGACGGCGTGGGCTGCAGTCCCTGTGGCAGTAGATTGCAATGGGCTACCGTGTGTGGCCAGCAGCCAGCGTGAGCGGCCAGCAGCCGCAGTGAGCGGCCGTCCGGATGCCGGCGACTGATCTGCCTCGCCAGAGAAGAGCGCAATGGTGGTGCCAACTTGGGCCAGTGGAGCAACGTCCTCCACAACTAGATTGAAGAACAAAACGACAGCAACTTGCCTGTTCCCCTTTCCCCAATTCCCCAGCACTATTCCCATCCCCCCAATTCCCCAATAAAAAAATCTTTAAAAAAAAAAAAAAAAGACAAAATAAAGTGGAAACAATCTAAAAGCCACAAACATGGAAATGGTTTACAGAAACATATATCTATAATGTGGAATACTATGCAGCAGTTAAAAAGAATTAAGTAGACTTGTGTGTCCTGACATATAGGCCTTCAAAATTTTTCTAAGTTAAAAAGAAGTAAACTATAAAAATGTATGTTAAAAAGAAAAACTCCTATCAATTGATGGGAATTGATTCTTTCCCAGAGGGTAAGCAAATTACCCTCTGGGAAAGAATCTGGGGTAAAGACAAGGGTTCAAGGGGGCCTTTTACTTCATTTCTATTGTTTGAATCTTTTATAACAAGAAAATATTCATTTACATTTATGTAATTTTTGTAATTAAAAAAAAGTAGAATACATGCTTGTTGTAAAAAAAAAATCTACACACAAAATCTAAATACAAAAGTATTTAAAGTAGCTAGAAACCATATTCTTCTCCCCAATCCCACTCAACTCAGAAGGATCCAATTACCTGCAATGGTCTGAGATATATCCAGTTGAACTTTTCCCTATATTACTTAAAACTTCTATGTATACAAGCAAATGTAGATATTATATACAAACATCCATGCATGTGAGCACATATTAGAGGTGTGATTACATCTGCATATTCACACATGAACAACAAGCCTTCATTTTCAAAATGGTTAAAATGCCAAAATTGTATATACTAGGGTAATAGTTAGGCAAACTAGACCACATCAAATAGAGGAAATTTATTCAGCTATCACAGACAATAGGGTTGTGGGTTAGGATTTGGATACAAATACTAGGATAGGACTGATCTTTTATGTTTTCTAAATGTTCTGTAATGACCATCTACTGTATAGTGTCAATAAAACATTTTTTAAAAGATAAAAACCAAATGAGAGAATGTTTTCTGGGAAAAAAATGAAGACTATAAAGTGCTAAACAAATAGAAGGCTTCACTATTGTTAGCACACATAAAAACAGTATGAAAAGCCCACATTTCTGTAACATCACTTACCAATTCCACTGTCATCTAACCGCATGTAGCCTTCTGCCAGTGAGCTGAAGCCAGTCAGTCCTCCCATGGCTGCATAAGGAACATCCCGTCCCACTGGTTTTCCTTGGGCCAGTCTTTCTTGCTTAGTTTCCACTACTGTGTCGTGGGCATATGCAGGCTGACCACAAGCACAAGTGAAGCAGCTATGGAATCCTGAACACTTGGAACCTGAATCAAGATGTGAAGAAAGTCAAATGTTTTTAAATATAGGCACTGAGCTGTCTGCCCTAAAAAGGCTCAGCTTGGCCAAAATCACCCGACTCTTAGGTCCCTCATACGCTGTCCTCCGGTTCCTGTAACTCTTACCTCCAGCCCCTGAACTCCCTCCCAGCCACTGCTCTTGCGTCTAAAAAACACTAAAGTGGTAAGGGAGTATGTAGCAGGAAAAAATATGTTGGAAAAACCAACTAGGACTAAAAGAAATTGGGCTAAACACTGAAGAGCCAGAAAATGAAGGCCCTCTCCTCAAATACTGAGTTATTAATAAAAGCAGGTATGGTGGGGACAGTCCAGTGGTCAGGACAAGGCGAAGAGATGAAACCGCCCCATGGATCAATGCCCCATAAAAGCCATATTGGAAGGCCAACACATAGACATAGAAAGGATGCAATGGAATACTGTTTAAAAAAGGAATGAAGTACTGATACATGCACAACATGGATGGATCATAAAAACATTATGCCAAGTGAAAGAAGCCAGTCGCAAGGGACAACACATTCTATGAGTCCATTTATATGAAATGTCTGGAATGGGCAAATCGATACAGACAGAAAGTAGATTACTGGTCACCTAGAACTGGGGGAATGGAGGAATAAAGAACAGCTGCTAATGGGCATGGAGTTTCTTTTGAGGATGATGAAAGTATTCTAAAATTTATTGTGGTGGTGGTGGTTGTACAACCCTGGGAATATTTTTAAAACCCATTAAATTGTACCCTTGAAATGGGTAAGTTAAATGGTATGTGAATTATATCTTAACAAAATTGTTATATATAAAAAAACAAGCCCTATTGAAATGGAGGCCAGAATAAGCCATTAACAAAATCTTTACACCTTCACACTTCTGACAAATGTGTATGGGAACCAAGGCACGTAAGTTTTATCCAACTATGTTCATACTTAGCCATTGAAACACATTTGTTCCTGCCACTGCCATTTAAAATGTTTTCTAGTTCATCATGAGATTTCAATTCAAACTACTACAAAAATAAGTGAAATACTATCTCCTGAAGAAAAATACTGGACTAATATCCTACCTATTTCAAAGGGTTTTTTAAAAGGATGATCCAGTGTAAGGGCATATGGGATGGGGGCTGCAATTTGGGTATAGGTATTGAGGTAAGGGTGCTACTGTATAAAAAGTGTTAAAATTATGTTACATTTTGCTTTTCCCATCAGCCTATGTTTTAGGCATAACAGAATAATCTACCAGCAAATTATAAAATTTTTCTCAACTTAGAAAATCCTTTTATAAACCTATCAATAGAATTTAGTTGACAAAACTCCCACTATTCAAAAATTTGAATCCAATTATGTCTAGTGATTCCTTAAAATCTATTACTATTATTTGACTTATTTGAATTACATGAGATCAGGGTTTACGATTGCAAAGGAAACAAACAACTCAGAGTTTTTCCACAAAAATAAAATTCTAGAGCAGCTACCTATCAAATTTTTCTTAGTTGTTTCATATTGACGCCATAGCTGAATAAAACTGGCACAAAGACACCTTAACTATTCAACAAACAAATAAAACCATTCTGTTGGTGTGTTTATAATAACATCACTCACAGGCATTGCACGGAAAGCTAGGTGCAACACTGTGCTGATCTGCAAAGTGCTTGCACCTGCAGCGAATGGGCTGTGCTCCATTCAAAGGTACAAAGGCATAAGCCCTGCACTGGCAGCCGGTCACTCGACAAGGCAGACAAATGGGGCGCTGCTGTGGAATCGTTTCAAAGTCAGTTTGATGTTGTTTATACCTAAAAAGGGGGGGAGGGAGAATAAAATCACAATGTAGGAATTGCCAGAAATTACAATTTCTATTCTGTTAAATGCAAAATGATTCTTTTTTATTTTTATTTCATTGTTCTTGTTTAGTAAGGTAAAAATAAACTCTCCTACCTGCGGTATTTCTGCCAGCTGTGTTGATCTGTTCAGAGAAAATCTTCATTCTTAGATGATTTTTAGTTATTTATAGTTATTTATATATAAGAATTTTCACAATAATATACAAAGAAATAGCATTTAATTCCCTTAAAACACTTACCACTATAGATTCTTTAATATGGAAGCACAACTTAATAGTATGAAAAAAGTTCTTTACAAAAATTATTTTTATCAAAGTGCATTACTTAAATTTATTTCTACAGGTTTGCTATTTAAAACTGAAATAAGTTCAATAAACATATATTAATGTACCTTATTTTATTTTTTAACTTCAAAATAAATTATCAACATTTTTAAAACCCAAAGCTCTGTTAAAACACTAAATAAGTTTCTTAAATAAGCTACTCACTTCCTTCTCATAAGATTACTCAGTAAAATATTAAATTTTTATTATTCTCAATATTAATGTAGGTAATAGAAGTTAAAATAACAATGAGATACCATTTTTCACTTAGCAAAGAGAGCCAGATTTTTTTAAACTATACATAATTCACAATGCTGCCAAGTGTTACAAAAGAACCAATCCCATTTAATGTTTTAAGAAACTTCAATAGATCCATCCTTTAACCCAGACAGTTCATTTTTGAAAATGCAACCTAAGAAAATAATTCCATGTGTAGAAAGAGCTTTGTGCCTAAAGATAGTATTAGCAACAGTACTTACAATAGTAAAAACTACATATATAGGGTATACACATACATACACACCATACTAATAACAAGGGAATGGGTAAGTAAATTACTAGATGTTTTCAAACTTTTTATCAGTGAAACCCTTTCCTTACACAAAATATTTTACAGAACCATAATATATAAAATAGATAAAAGCAGAATTGGTGAAAGCAAGGGAAAGAGCCAGTAATGGAGTCTGCTCTTCCCCTAAACTGCCTTTCCATCTGGTAGACCTCTGAGACACCTTCACAGGTCTGGGGAACACACAATGAATACCACTGGACTAGCTGGAATATCGAGCAGCTATTAAAAATCCTGTTTGTGATTACTACATAACAATGTGGAAATACGTTTCTCTGATTCTGTCATAAAAAACTGGTTCAATGTTTATATGCATATATAATTAACTAAATGAACTGTAAAAAAAAATTACATGAATATAATAAAATATATTAACACCAGCTGGCTTTGGGAAGTGAGCTTCTTTCTACTTCTTTATATATTCCTCATCTATCTTTTTTTTTTTAGCTGAGCCACCCTGCCACCTGTTAGCAGCTCAGTGGCAGCTCAGCTTGGGCCGGGAATCGAACCGGTGATCCTGTTGCTCAGAGCTCGCACTCTTGAGCGAGCTCTTAACCAACTGAGCCACTCGGCCAACCCCTCCTCATCTATCTTAATAACCATGTTTCACTTGTTTAATAGGGAAAACACTGTGTAGACAGAGATCTCACTGAGTGACCTGTACTAAAAAACTTTTCCATCCAAGTTGAGTTGGGCCAATTTTTAAGGCTAATTCCATATTGTATAATTATACATAGATAAGGGACGGGCACTAAATTTGTACAAGAATAAATAATAAAACTAACATAAATTGACCAAACTCCTCTTCAATTCTGAAAGATATCAACATAACCCTCATCCTGTATTCCTCCAGTGTTTTCAGTTGGGGTTGCTAAATAAATTCCAAGTTAATCTATATACATTACTCATCCTAGCAACTGCCTAACGACCTTTGGCAAACTGCAAGTCTGTAAACAGCAACTACACAAAGAGTCTCTCATGAAAGAGCCCCAGAAACTATCAGAACAGGGCGGTTCTCCTTCTATAGTTCCTTTGGAACAGAAAGTTGAAGTTGTTACCTAAAAACACGTAATAGGTTCAGGGATTTTTCCATGAAGCAGCTTTGTCCTTTTGAGCTTTACAGCTGTGACCTGTGACAGTAGTAAAAGTAAAAGTAGAACACGACAAACACAGCCACATGCAAACCTCAGGTACAAGCAACACACAGCAAGGAGCACAGCTTTCTGTATTTCCTTTGTTCCACGTGTTTTGCTTGCCAACGGACCATTTGTAATAAAAGGCTGTGTTCTTAGTAGTTTTGTTTGTTTAAAGAAATGTATCGACACAACATGTTTCTTAAAGTATAGAAGGAGATTAGTGAATTTGAGGAGAAATGCTTCTTCTATTTGTAGATTGGTAATCTGTTCAGTGTGGGTCACCTCAAGCAGTTCTGCAGTCTGACAACCTGTCCTCCACCACCTTGTCCAGTGGTGAGAGAGGTCAACTCTGCTCCCCAGCCTAACTGAAAGGCAAAGCCATAGGGGCACCAATATCTTTTATACCAAAGGCAAGAGAAGAGATACTGAAGGTGACAGACTCTATAATATAGAGTTCTAACAGGATATAACAGAAATTTTTAAATTATGACCAAAAAAAATTTAGATAATTTCTAGTATATAATATAAAGACTTTTTTTTTAAGATTTTATTGGGGAATTGAGGGAGGGAACAGTGTTGGGGAATCGGGGAAGGGGAACAGACAAGTGCTGTCCTTTGGTTCTTCAATCTAGTTGTGGAGCATGTCACTTCACTGGCCCATGTTTGTATTGTGATCATTGTGCTTTTCCCGAGTGAGGCAGTCGCTTGCCGGCCATTGGACAGCCACTCACCGCGGCTCATGGCAGCTCACACTGGCTGCCGCCCACTCACAGTAGCTCATGGCAACCCACTGCAGCAGGGGCTGCAGCCTACCCTGTCGCTGGTGACTCACGGCAGCCCAGCTCCAGGTCAAGCTGTTGTTCACCATCTTAGCTATAGAGGGCGCAGCGTCACTGGCCCATGTTGGAACCGAACCAGGGCCCTGCTGCTCAGAGCTCACACTCCCAAGCCAACTCTTAACCAACGCGCCACTTGGCCTGCCCTAAAGACCTATTTTAAATGTTTCTTAATTATCACAAGTAATGTTATTTATAGAAGGAAGCTATTCTGTGCTACAGTTTTATACTTTCTAATCACCAGAAAACTTAGAAATAAAATATCTTACCTATGTGTACAAAAACACAGTGTCTCTGGACCCACAAGTTTACAGTCCATTCCTGTTGGTGATCGCCAGCTGACAAATAATCTGTTCTGTAAGCGCATAGGTAAAACTTTTCTTTTGTATTCTTCATATTCTTCAGGAGTAAAAAGTTTCCCTCCATCGTCCTCACCTACAATTCTACAACAACAACAACAAATATATATATTTCTCTTAAGCCTTGAGTATTTTCCAGGGTAAAAATACTAAACTAAACTTTCCAGGTTAAAAATTAAACTATACTTATATAGTCATCAGCTTTGATATTTTTACTTTACTCATAGGTTCATGTTAATAGCAAAATTACACACAATGGTAATAAAGCTTTTGATTCCCATATAAAAAAGGATTATAAATAAGAAAGTCAAAGAATTCCTAACATCTGACTTTACTGATCAAGGTTTACCACTGAAAAACGACCACATATTCATTTCAATTTCTCCTTTGATTCTGAAGCAAACATGTTCATTCTTATTAAAAGCTAGAGCTTAAATTTCTAAAATTCTAACAATTTCTGCCTAGAAAAATAATACCCCCAAAAAAATAACACAAAAAAACAATGCAGAAGACAACATGGCTGATATCCACAACTGACCCCAAACCCTGGCCAGTTTAAACTAACATGGGACCCGCAAATACCCTTGGATCTGCACTAGCTCAAACCCACATCATTTGTTGAGTAATCAGGGGCATCATTGCTTAATTCCAGAAGTAAGACCTCAATATTTTATGGGAAAAATTAAACTGCTATTTATGAATTTCCTAAGAAATTGGAAGTTGGCCTCCCTGGAGGAAAAGGAAGCACAAGTTTTAAAAAATTGTATGAAATTGAAAATAATTTCTCCTTGAAAATACTCCCATTTAAGTCATGAAAAGTGTTTGCAGAATGCTACCTAATTTTTTGTGTAATCCATATTTTTTTCCATACTCTCAAGCCTTTAGCTGAGGTAGATAAATAAAACCAATTCAGAAGCTACGAAACCAATGCAACCTTACTTAAATAATTTAGATAGACAATAGTAAAAATACAAAGGGCATTTTCTTCTGAGATTATTTTTGGGCCATTTCACTTTATTATAGCTACCAAGTCATATACCAACAGGTAATGGAAAGAAAGACCTTAAGATCAATGCAGGTCTTTAAAGAAAGAGATTGTTTGTATTTAAGTTCTAAACCAGTGCAGCCTAAACTTCACTGTAGTTACACAAACCTCAAGGGATCTAGTTCAAATGAAGACTCAGATTAATGGTCTAGAGTGGGCCTGAGACTTAGCATTTCTACTAAACTCCCAAGTGATGCGGACACTGCTGGTCCATGATTGCTACACTTTGAGTAGCAAGGCTCTAACTTTTACAGGGAATTGCTCCTGGTTATTTATGTTTGCAAAAATAATTTTCCACCGGGCCCTAACATTTTCTGGGCCAGGCAAGAGACTAAAACACGAGGCCCGCAATCCACATATCTAAACATCTAAATACCTAAGTTATCAGTCAACACCTGGGCCCAGCAACTTGGTTTCTGAGAAAAGCCCTGGAGACATGGAGGCTAGTGGGGCCACCTCTGAGCCAGGTGAGAGATGGGTGGAAGCTGTTCTGGGCACAGGACTCCTGGCCTTACCTGGAACCACCTGAACCCGGGATGAGGCCTGACCCATCAAGCTACTCACTCTCACTTTTCTGGCTCAGGCTTACCAGGCATTCCTAGGTGTTCCCCAAAACTAACAACCGAGACAGTCAGTGGGAGTGCAGTCAGCAAGGGAACCCGTCTGCCGGAACAACCCTGGGCGATTTGGGGCGACCACCTTTAAGCAGAGCAGCAGGTTTCCTCTCGCTCAGATTTCCCAGGCGGAGCTGTGATTGCTTCTTTTCTCGTTATTGCAAACACATTTCCCACCCCCCAACTCCGTATCCTCCTGCCTGTCCCTCTCCAGTAATTCCCACTCACCCAGTTCCTGAACTTTAAAAAACCTTCCTTGGAAAAAAGAACACGTCCCCGCAGGTGCACCATCCTTTGTCAGGACCCTGGGCAGTGGGGTCACGTCCTCAAGCCACAGGCGCGGTTTCCTCTCCAGTTTCGGGAGAGAACTATCTCCAGAACCACAGAGACTACACCAGTCGGTGTCTTTCTCCCAAAACCAGCACCTGGGGATTGGGCGCACGTTTAGAAAATTCACGACTTGTCCTATTGCCACACTAACATGCAAATTTAATGTCTGCTTTCATAGGCCCCCACTACTCAAGGTGTAATTCTTCAATGGCCATTTAGGAAAAATAACTGGACCTTTGCATAAATCTAGAGTTATTAATCCTTCTTGGAAGGGGTCGGAGCAGGAGACCTCTTAAATAGCCTCGGAAGAGACTTACTAGAACTGCGTGTCTAGTATTCTGTATTTAATTACAGAAAGACGAAACTGGAAAGCACTCTACGCTCAACAGCCCGTGAACGCATTCCAGGGCCCCGGCGTGCGAGCACCGGGACCCTCAGCGCTTCTCCGGCCCAGGGGATGGGGTCGCGCCGGGCGCCCTCGCCCCACGGAGCTGCGGCCTCACCTCCGGTATTCCAGGTACTCGTCCACAGCCGCCGCACCGCCGGGAGGTAGCGTCAGCGGCTCCATACTTGGCGAGGAAGCGAGAGGCGCCGGCGCCGCGCGCTCTGAGCCCGCCCTGCGAGCGAGTGTACCTTGGAGGAGCCAGAACCGGCACCGCCCCGGCCGGCCGCGCCCCCTCCCGGCCGCCTCCCGATTGGCCCGGGCGGAAGACGGCGGTGACGCCGCAAGGCTCGCGCGCTTCCACCTGGCCGCCAACGCGGGCGTTATAAGCCCGCTGCAGGCGCACCGGCCCCGCATGGGGAGATGTGCACCGCGGTCCACAATTCTTGCTTCCCTCTTTTTCTAGTCTGGCAGGTCTCCTTGTACACTGACATGCGGCAATGCAGTGCAATGCCTTGTGTATAATAGACGCACAGAACATGGCTTATTTCTTTGTACAGCGCTTTTCACCGGTTTTGAGAAGGTTCTGGTTTTGGCCCGCCTCCCCATATTTTCCAGCCGTGTTTTCAAAATTGGCGTTTTAAAAACTGTGATGTAAAATTAATCATCCAGGGTGTCTGCGTCCTGTTTGGATGTCACTAAAGCTACATGTTCTTCAAGGGACGTGAATAGCAGGTTTAAAGGGAAACGAGTAGAAACAATTTGAGATTTTTTTAAACATCTTTGGAAATAGTCATAAAATCTTTTTTAAAGTTAAATCACCAGGCGATTGGTAACTTGACCATAATTTGATTTAGGAACCTGGAAAAGGGGTAGGAAATTCATCACTGCTCAGGAGTGGTTACACTCAGGCTCCCTAGAGATCAGCTTGCAGACCCTCTATAAATTATCGGGGCGGGAGAATCCGCAAACAATAAGAAAAATAATTCGTTGTACTACAACGCTTAATTTTAAAAGTACTTTCCTGAGTATTTCAGATCCCAAAGGCAAACCATAATACAGACAGACTGTTTCGGTGCACCCCTCCCTTCCTTTTCAGGGCCCCTTCTCCTCTTCTAAAGTTGGTCCTCTTGCTTAGGCCAGTCCTATTCCCACTTTGACATACTCACTGCTTTTTGTTAATTATAGTCGGCTCTTGAACAATGCAGCGATCAGGGGTGCTGACCCTCTCTGTCGAAATCTATATGTTAACTTTTTGACTCCCCAAAAACTTTACTAGTAATAGCCTACTGTTGACTGAAAGCCTTACCAGTAATATAGTCAACTAACACATATTTTGTATATGTGTATTATATACTGTATTCTTACAATAAAGTAAGCTTAAGAAAATGTTTTAAAAATCGTAAGAAAAGATACATTTACAGTACTGTACTACTGATTGAAAAAAAAAAGTGAACTGGTGCAGTTCAAACCTGTGTTGTTCAAGAGTCAACTGTACTTTCCACCAAAGTGTTATGTTGTAGCTCAACTTTAGTCCAAAAACTTTGAAGCCTCCCAGATACATTGGCTTTTATACAGAAATTTTTAAGGTTAAAAAAGCTTTCAAAAGTCAGATAAAGGCGTGATCCAGAAACGGGGTTATTTTAGGGGAAGGAACCTTTTGCTCAGTTCTCTCCCCACCCTGTGGGCAGCTGCTGCCAGCTTTATCTATGAGCACCTAGCCCTAATTTTAGGCAGCAGCTAAACTAACAAAGATAAATATTGAAAAGTGCCAGGCTCTGTGAGCTTATAGAATTGCCTATGTAGGCAATTACAATTTAATGAATCTAGAGGGAAATAATTAAAATAGGCTTAGCTCAATTGTAGACTCTTTCAGGAAGATGCGGGAACAGTAAACTCTTCCGAACAAAGAAGCTGACAAAAACACTAGGCGTGAAAAGTAAGACTATGAAACAAAATAGAAAATGTTATCCTAACCTTGTATAAAACTGACACTTTAGCTAATTAGAATATTTTATATAATTTTTTTCTACTTTAGTAAAAAAGAATTATAATTTCTACCCAAAAGGTAGCAAAATTGATCTAGGGTAGGATAGACAGAGGGACATAAAAATTGCCTGGGTAAGTGTTAGATATTTTACATAGTTAGTCCTCATAAAATGACATAGGTATTATCAGCATTTTATAGTGATGTATAAGTCAGGAATGCTTTCTTCTGCAAATAACAGAATAGTCCAACTAACAGAGGCTTAATTTAATGTAGGGTTTTTTGTTAAAGAAGTGTGGAGGTAGAGTTTTGTATATCAAATACATACAAGTGTATCTCAAATATATACAAAACTGAAGAGTCCTCGCCCACCAGGAGAGCAGTCCACGGTGCCCAGTCACCATAATTTGAAATATGTGTTTCAGACAAGAATTTCTCCATCACTGTTTACAGAACACCTATTGAGGGCCAGTCACAGTGCTTGGGGACACATGGGAATGAGAAACATCCCACTTGCCAGGACCTCCCAGTCAGTTGGGTGGAGGAGCAAATAAGGAAATGGCTTACGTGCTTTAATGAAGTACACTGTCATGTTAGAGAGCCCCACCTGGCAAAGAACCAATGGAGGCCTCCTGCCAACCACCACTGAAGAACTGAATCCTGCCAACACCGTGTGAGTCAACCTGGAAGCAACTCCTTTCTCAGGTGAGGCTTGCGATGACGGTC